TCTTAAATTTATATTTTGAAAGATAGTGTTATTTTTCTTAGTAGATTAACAATTAAATTTCAAATTATAACTTTACATATGAAATTTTGAGAAAAGTACAGTGAATTTTACATGAGATATATTTTTAAAAAGCTTTATTAATTTGCATTTATGTCATACTTTAAAGTAAAATTGATTCAATAATGTTACTTATTTTCATTGAGTCAATAAATGAATTCCCCACACATTTAAAATAAAAATCCCAAAGCCACAGATGGAAAAAATGTTACACTGACCAGATTCACTAGGCTCCTTTATTCCAGAGTAAGCTATAAAAGAGAAGACATATCCTCAGCAACAAAAGAACAAAGCTGCAAAGAAGATCCTCAGACCAGATTAACTGCCTGGAAGAAGCAGGAACTGGCCAAAAAGATTTAGACCAACTGAGGTGTACTCACATGCTTCCCTCCACCAGCTAGTTTTCAAATAACCACTCAGAGGCTTAACATTAATTACAAATGCTTGACCAATAGCTCAGACTTGCTATTAGCTAACACTTACACTTAAATTAGCCAGTATTTCTTATTTATGCTCTGTCACATGTCTTGTAGCCCGCTACCTCATTTTCTACACATCTGCTTCCTTGATGGATGGTTGGCATCTCTCTTTACTCTGCCCCTCTTTATCCCAGCACCTTCACTTTGATTCAGCCTAAATTATGTGATAAAGGAAGCAAACTCCATATGGAGTTTCTTTGATGTGATGCCCATCATTCATTTAAGAATATGATTGGTGCTGCCAGGAGCAGATGTGCCTCATCTGAAGAAAAGTTTGTCATTAAAACATTTTAAATGCAATTTTTATAGGTATTTGAAGTGTTTGAAGATTAACTATCTATCTGAAATATTTCTGTGTTTGACCTTGAAAACATACTGAACATGGCTATAGGTTTTACTATTATAGGTGACTATTAATTTGTATTTTTAATTATGCATTACATTTTAAGTGAGCTGCATAAATACAATACCTTAAACAAGAGAAAAATATACATATAGAATAACAAAATTAACTTTAAATCTGTATCAATAAACCAAAATCCATACCAATATAAAATATTTAAGATTAATAGTTGTTTTTTGGATTAAAGTAATCAATAATCTACCCTTTTATCCTTTCATTTCTATATCCTTTTTTTTAAAATGTTCAGAACAACATCCCTGAAACTCTTTTGGTTAGCTTTTTTTCCTGATGATTATCCATAGCAACTTGTAACCAATCCCCCTTGAATGAAAATAAATATCTGTAACCCATTTTTTGGGAATTTGGGCATAGTTCTCTAGGCTGCTTCCTGCTGCTTAGAGGCAATGGCAATGTTTGGGAAACCCTAAGAGAAAATTCAGGATTATAGTCAAATCCTGGCTAGAGTATTCTGTGAGACTGAATCATTTCTGTTGGTAGTTTTGAAGCTGTTCTGAATGCAAAATTCTGAGGAGACTGTAACAGAGGCCTTTTGAGATGCTGGATCACTGGGGCCATTTGTTTTCACTGGTATCTGATCATGACTCTAAAAATATATAAACTTTTAAAGGTAATATATATATCTGTATTAATACTATACAGACTGTGCATTGTACATAACCCAGTCAAAGATGATTTTTTTTTGTCTTCAGTTTGAGCAGGGAAAATATGCATCATGTTTTGTAGTTCTTTTAGGTTTATCTTTTATGTCTATAATCAGGATTTTAGGGGGTATTCCTCAATCAAACCTGATTTTCTTTAACCCTGAATGAATCCACAGTCTCTCATTTCTGGTGGAATTAGAAACATAGCCTCTCCCCCAAAGTAGCACATCTTTTGATTTAAAATTTGAAGTCATCATTAAAATATATAGATTGGTTGAATCTATCAGTTTTAATAATCTAGTATCTCTTAACAGTCAAAACATTTAAAGACAACATAAGAACATACAGGATTTTTGATACCCATAAAGGATATAGCAGAGCTTATATGTATAATATATAATTTGGGGTAAATACAAAAATGGCGCAGTTCCTTGAGGCTGTCCACAATTCATTGATCTCTGCATTATGGATGATCAGTTGATTCTCTAAAATGGTTTCAATTTGCTACAAAAAGAATCTCCTTTGATGTGGAGATGAGAGCTACACTTACCTATAAGATGTAACAACAAGTGTTAGAATGCTGGACGTAATAATTATGCTGCTCTGGTAAAGTGAGAGTAGTTGGTTCTCCGCGAAGGTCTCTGACATCACTAGCCCCAGGTATCTGGCTAGGTTCCCAGTATGAGGCATAATTTCCCTCCTGCTGAATGCACCTAAAGTCCGGCTAGACTGCTGTTGATCACCACCCAGATATGAGTGCCACTATCGTACCTTTAGGGATTGTCTTGACATGTTGGTCATTACTGTGGTTCATAGGTGCCACAGTGAGCTGGGTAGGACTATTTATGGCTCTCCTCCCCAGGCAGATGGTACAGTGAAAGCTAGCCCACAGGAAGGAGGCTTTCAGATTAGATCTGAGCCCTGTGTCCAAAGTGTGTGGTACCTTCAGCAATGGGAACTTCAGTCTCTGGAAGGCAACTGTGGGCAGAACAATTGTCTGTATCATTTTGACAGTCACAAGGACTATCTTGACCAAATCAAAGGGACGTGTCTCCTGTCTTGTATTGGAAGTTTTGTCAGATAGTCTATGGATCTTGTAGAGAGTATTGTCAGTCCAAGTAGCAGAACTTATATGTATTATATATAATTTGGGGTACATACAAAAATAGCGTGGTTCCTTGAGGTCTGAAAATTTTGTTACTGAGAGTATAAGCTATAAGGTTATTTCCATGCACAAAGCGGAATACAAGTCTAATCTTGAAGCTCCTTGAAATCAAAGTAAGAGGAAAACAAGTTTGAACTATGAACAATGTGTCTGCAGGGTGCTGGGGACATGGGTTGCTGGGTAAAGTGCTCATTATGCAAGCATCAGTACCTGAGTTTGGATCCCTAGAGCCCATGGAAAAGTGACTGTGCACATGTGTAACCTCCATATGAGGCTCACAGACAGGGGCTCACTGGCTACTTAATCTACTCTAAACGGGGGGGGGGGCCAGGCTCAGGGAGAGACGCTGACTCAAAAACTTATACGGAAAATGATAGAAGAAGATACCCAACAGTAATCTCCTGCATCCACATACACACAGAATGGGGAGCACATGGACACACGTGCATGAGCATGTGTGCACACACATGCACTCACACACACTTACAAAAATACACATCTCTACAATTTTTCCTTATTGGGGATTTTAGTCACTTTGGGGGCTCGGACTGCCTACCCATCTCCCAAACATTACCTACGTATTTCAAACAATGAGTTGTGAGTGTGCTTTTTCTTTATTTTTAAGTTCAAGTAGTTAACATAATAGTACCAGATTCATTTAATTGTGCAATTGACTTCATAGTGACATTTTTTTTTTTAACCAGTAGGCATATTCTGGTAAAAATTGGTAAACCTACTACGCATGCCATCACAATATGGAACACATTGTAAATGCTAATCCTTACACCTGTAGGTAAGTGTAGCATTCAGTCCTCATCAAAGATGCTTGCTTCTCTTTGCAGTAGACAGAGACCATTACAGGAAGCCGCAACCGGTCAAATGCAGAGAAGAACTGACCTTGAGGTGCCCCGTCCCAATTGATGCAGCTGTAACACAAGCCCTATATTCAAGGCTCAGGAAACATTACAAAAGAGGGAGCAGAAAGAATGGGACCAGGAAGCCCAAAGGACCAGGAAGCCCACTGCAAGGTAATGTCTCTTAATATGGTAGGAAAGGCACACTCGTGAAACCTCAACAGCAGCTTGCTAAATTTACAAGACCTGAAAAATAACCAAACAGTTGGCTTGCTAACGTTTGTGGGGGAAATATCAGAGGCCTCCACTCCAGAAGAAGCACTAAAAGTAGTTAAGGATTCTGAGAGTGAGAATTAGTCTTCCCCAGGGTGATCTCCTTAAGTAGTTATGGGACACAGTCGATCCTAAACACACATAGACACACATGGACATAGACACAGACACAAACACCTACACACAGACCTTCACACACATACACCCACACAACACCAAACAAACTCAGTAGGTTATGTGTGCGTGTAGTACAACAATAGTTAAAGAAAAGAAGGCCATACATTTGAGAATAAACAGTAGGTTGGACGTAGGAAGGGTTCTGGGAAGACAGGGAGTGGGGGAAATGATGTAAAAATGGTATTCATGTAGAACTGAGCAGGAGTGTGTGGGGGGTGGTAAAGTATTGTGATAAAAAGAAACATGTTAACCTTGTGAAAGACAATCCTTGGTTTTCCTTGCTCTCCCTTCATTGGTGAATAGCAAGGAGTGGTACCAAATGTAGAAGGATTCCAGCCAGGATGCAGAACTCACTTGGGCAGAAAGGGGTTTCTGATGCCACCGTTCACAATGGCGCCTGCATAAAACCAAATACAACCAAATGAAACCAAAACAAACAAACAGAAACAATCTGGGAAGCCCCTGAAGTCCAGTGGGAGTAGTGTTGCAGAGGAGAGCCACACAGCTGAGCAGACTGGGATATCATTTGAGCCTGAGCTCCTTATCACAGAAAGCAGGAGTTGGCAGACAGAGCAGAAAGTAAGTTTGATTCACTTGGTCATCTTCAACGAGCGTCGAAGCCTCGTACCAGCTCAGTAGATGTATTACCTTGCCAGCCCTGATGTTGGCATACCCATGGGGAATCTGTTTTGTTATCTCTTGGGTAAGAAAATTATTGATGGTTTGGGGATGGATGTATCAATTTTGAATCAAGCTGTCTCAAAAGGATATTATAAAGGAGCAACATGTAAGTAGTTTGAGACTGTTTCCCCTTACAGGAAAATTGAGAAGATCTACCAACAGCGTAATACGTGAATTAAGGAAGTAAGCCATTGCACTGACTTTGAACGCCTTTTTTTTTTTTTTCAACTTCCTGCAAGGAGGACCCTTTACAGTATTTTTGGAGAAGTTAGTAAAACCGAATCTGACATCACCATTTAGCAGTGCAAGCAGCTAGCAAGTGGTTTGTTCTTAGGGTAGCAGAGAAGGAAACCTGTTCCCCATCTGATAAGACACAGTGCAAAGTGTGCGTTCAAGTCTTACTTTGAGTTAGCTTTACAGAGTCCAACTTCTAGAGAGATAACCATTATTTTGCCTTTCAGGGGGACGCGCGCTCTTTCTTAGGGACACAGCTGACCTCCAGATATGACCATCTATTTGTGGCTCAAACTTCTGGCCTTTGGCTTCGCCTTTCTGGACACAGAAGTGTTTGTCACAGGTAAGCATTTCAATATTCATTTTTACTTCTTTGTATTTTGTTCCTTTTGCGGGGAAGCCTGGCTTGAAATGAATATTTTTAAATGCTGTGTGATGGAGATGGAAAGTAAGAAGGCCCACTACTCCGTGGTCAAGGCTGTGGCTCAGAGGAACACTGCATACGCCGTTTCTGTTTAAAAAACATAACTGTTTTGGGGGAAGAAGGCACAATTTAGCAGGAAAGTCTTGGTTTCTCTATTTGCCAACTGTTCGAGGATGTCGCTAAAGCAACAGACCTGAACTTGCAGCTCTGACAGTCAAAGGAATTGTTAAATAAAGCAGTTTTTATGCTTTTGAGCAGAGTATGAACAGTTTAAAATCATGAGACGACTTTGGTCTCTTCAGATGGGAGGTGACTTCCTCAAATGTTGATGGTTATTAAAATAGGGTCTCGAATGCTTGGCTACAGAAAGGCTCACAGATGTGTGAGGTGCTTTCAAAAATTTTAACATTTCATGTAGTTTACCACAGAAGGCATTTTGAGTGAATTATTTTAATTCCTCAACAATGGTTCTTATGAATTTTGCTGTGGAAATTCTGGCAAAGCCACTGCCCTTCCTGGGTGATGGGTAGATAGCTAGATAGCACCGCACTGAAAAGGGAAACATTACAATTCCGAAGAATCACACAAACTCTGTGTTCTTGTATTATTATTATTTTTTTTTGCTTAAGTTCAAGATCTTCCTACACTTCTGATCTGGTCAATAGATATGTCTTGAGTAGTTTCAGTGAGTTTTGTTGATTATTAAGTGACTAATAGCATTTCTTTTTATAATTTTTAACCTAAAGCCATCCTTTTTTTTAATCAAAGGGCATTGACAATGAGTCTTTGTAGAAATTTCAAGATATTTTTAAATAGGAAAAAAATAGAGCTAATCAGAATTCAAATTTATTATTTTTTATGTTTATTGCTCTCTCGCTTTCCTCTGAAAGTCGGGGCGCTTATAACTGAATGTGTCAAACGGCTGAATGTGTCAAATGGCTAAATTATGTTTTTCATCACCTATGGGCCTGGAAAAGAAATGTGGCCAGAGATAACTTTTTGGTGTTATTGTCACAATAAATTTGTTTTGCTTTTTAATTGTAAAGAGGAATTTTAAAAATCCGCTTTGATAAGTTGTGAATTTGCTTGGTTTAGGTTTTCAACATGAAGATTATTTTTTAAAAATACACAGAACTGCAGAATTTTGTCATAGTAAGCAGATAACCTCTCATGTTATTGTCTGTCTATCATTTTTGTACTCTAAAGAAAATTATGGAGAAGAACTTATGGTTATGCATAGGCATTTTATTATAAATCAACATACTTCCACTGTAAATCCCCTCTCAGGATAAGTTATCAATTCTTTTAAAATGAGTATGAAAGATACCTTCAAGCCTTGGAGCAAATCACCCTCAAAGTTTTAAATCGGATATTTAGTGTTTTTAGCAGAACAAGCATATTTGAATTTGTCATCAAAGAGTGTATGAAGGGATCTAAAAACCATTAAATCAACTTTGCCAAATATTTTATTCTAAGTAACTAGATAGAAATAGATTATTAATCATTACACAGATGATGGATAGGTGATAGGTAGTTGATAGAAAGATTTTTAAAAGATCAGGTTTACCACAATTGCTCCCAAAGCACCAAGGGTAAATACTTCTCTACAAAACATTTGTAGTCTCTCTTAACATGTGTGCTTATTTTTGAAAATATATTGATACAATAACCATTTGTATTAGAAAATGGTGTTTAGCATTTCTAGACACATTTTAGACTCAGTTTATACACTTGCAAATTTATTATTTGAATTTATTAAAGCTTTGAAGTGTACATTTTTTTTATTAAGAAACAAATGACTCAGATATCTACTTATTTTATCTTTGCATGTTAAATTAATTCAGTAGCTATAGGAAATAAAATTTTAGGCAGCAGCTTTTTATTACGTGGTTTAGAAAAACAAAGAAGAACAGTAAAATAGAAATGAGGCATCAGTGGAAAATTCACACCACTTCAGCATGTTATTTAACCCCTAAAATCTGCATAAACCAATGTCAAATAAATTCTTCCAGGCCAACAGTGACGCTGTGTTCATATGTACAAAATGTCTCTGATTCCCCTGCTCTGTGACCCTTTGCCACAACAGTTGGGCACAGGATGCTTGTACAAAAGTTGTGACTGGTTCTAGGGCATATGGATGGCGTAGAGAGTGCAGGAAGTGCGGCATAAGTGCCGCTAATGAAGTCCTAATCCGAGGCCTGTCTGCCACCCATCAGCTAACGGCTAACAGCACCTTCGGTTGTGCCCTTAAGAGTGTGCAGTGAGTTCTGTTATGAGTCAGAACAGTGAAAACTCACTTCCTGAGCACAATTCTTAATTTTCCATCGACATTAAAGTTGTAATGTAACAAATATGTACTTGGCCTTGTTCACTGCATGCATTTGATATAAAGTATTTATTGAATCTGACAACCACTCCTACTAAGTTCTGAAAATAACAGGAGAGCCTGGGCTATGGAAATGGCAACTTACTATTTATTTACTTTTTGTGAACTGCTAAAGTGTTTTCTGTGACTCTTGTTGCTCCAGTGAGAAAAGTGTTTGTTAGAGGAAAGAAAGGTGGATTAGAAATGGGGGTTCCTTTCTCCTGCGGGGCACTCTGAGCTTAGGATCAGAGTGGTGTGCTGTCTTCCTTATTCAATTCGGTGTCTTCCCAACGTGACAAGCAGTGAGCGTTGCATGTTGATGTTTTTACATTCTTTGTGTGCACATACATACATGTAGATATGCACACATAACATGTATACACGGTGCCTTTTTTATGCTGTCATCTCTCCTGTCTGCCTGTTGGGCTCTCCACATACTTAGCTGCTCAGTACTGTGGTTCTGTGAGTACAGTGTTTCAGCAGGGCAAGTTTTCCTCAGTCCAGACTGATTGCGCCCTCCCCTCAGTGCCTTGGAGCTTATTTCCAGCCTCCAAACCAGTCCTTCAGACATGGAAGAGCTCTTTTCTGCAGTGCATTCGTGCATGTGTTCCACAGACAGCTTAAAAAAAAAATCCGTCTGTTGAGATCTCAATTTCATAGTCTGTAACATGTGACAGATTTTTTTTCCTCCGGTATGAATCTCATACTTTCTTCATATAATTTAAAGTATTAAAACTGGGGCGGGGGGGCGAGATCCTGAGATTTCCTCATTAGTTGTATTTTCTGTTTTTAAAGTATCAGCATGTACTATACACAATCATGACACTGCTTCGGCCATGTGTGCAAATAGCGGGTGTTGTTCTTTGTCCTCTCTTCTATTTCACACTCCTCTTCCTGAACAGCTTCCCCTCCCCTTTTCTCTCCTCCTCTCTCCTCCTCCCATCCTGTCCTGTCCCCTCTCCTCCCCTCCTCCCCTCCTCTCCCTTCTCATCCCCTTTCCTTCTTTCCCCTCTCCTCCCTTCCCCTCCTTCTCTTTCCATTTCCCATATTTTCCATGACTGATTTAAAAAGAACAAGTGTGTGTGTGTGTGTGTGTGTGTGTGTGTGTGTGTGTGTGTGTGTG